AATCAAGAATCAAGGCAATGCCTCCACAGATTGCCACAGGCCGATCTGATGGAAGCAATCCTTCCACTGAGTTTCCCTGTTCCCAGATATCTATAGCTTGTGTCACGTTGACAAAAACAAAACAAACAAACAAACAAAAAACAACAGCAAACAAATAGCACGCGGGGACAGAAAATTTACCCTAAAGCAAGGCTCCTTTCCAGAGCTCCGCACTCCTTATTTCATTGCACCACACAGTTCCCTCATCCCCCCGAGTCCCGAGGGTCCTCTAACTTTAACGAACTCCATGAAGCAGCACATGCATTACCTCACCCGTCTGGCTTGTTTCCTAGCAGTGACTGTCCAATGCTCCTCCATCCCCACTCCTGCTGGCTTCCACCCTTCACCCATTCCTCCCTGCTGAAATCACAGCCCTCTGCCTGGAAAGAGCAGGCTTGAGCCTCCTCCTCCTTCCCAGATGCGGAACACTGGGAAAGAGATCCCTGGTGCGAAGGCAGTGTGTGTCCTCTGTCCCTCAGCCCCTGCCCACAATTTAAAAGCATGTCTGTGTGGAGGCGTGGAGGGAAAGACAGGAGGAAAGTATAAAAAAAAATGGCATGGAGATAAGGAGAGAATTCTGAGAGGAACCACAAGAGATAGCAGACAGCGGTTAGCTTGGGGCTTTGCAGAGAGCAGGGGAAGAAAGTTCTATTCCATGTTTCATTTCTTTCTGTTGAACATTATTTTCCTAATGACTATAGGGTAAGCCAAGAGATGGGGGACCGTATTTAACTAGCAATACTTGTATTTTTTAAAAAATGGGAAATAATGAGAAGCATTAACTCTAAAAGTTAAATAGGTTATCTATAATCTACCACTTCCCCTCCTGTACATTGACCAAAATATGCAACAATGTAAATGATAGAAAAATTGTGTGTGGGTCACGTTAATGGGCTGAAGACAGGAAGGGACGAAGGAGAGTGGGGCGTTCGGTGGCTGGAGAGCTCACTCTGTCAGCCTGCTCTCTCCTCTGTGGGGTTCAGTTCTGCTTTCCTTTTAGTCAGCTGTGGGCTGACTTCCCCTCTCCCTACCCCTATTCCTCTTCAGACAAGTGGTTTGTTTAGCAAAAGGACTGGCTTACTGTCTCTGAGCTCAAAGCACATACATAATGAAGGCGGAACAGACATCTATTAAGTGGGATGGCAGGCAGTTCCAAAAGAACAGGAGAGTCCAGAGCTGCCACCACTAAGGCTAAGATAAGCAGCGAGCTCCTTTCTTCTCCAAAACTATACTGGGAATGCTCCACTGGTCCCCCTGTCCCCTCTGTGGATGCATGATAAGGTTCAAACTCCTCCGCGTGTTTACCAAGACCTTCCTGGCTCCGCTCCACACCTGTCTTTCTGCTCTGGCTCCCAAGACAAGTGTCGTACCCCAGCAGTCAAACTGGTCCGTGTGCCACTCCCCGAGCGCACCTTGAGGCTCCCTGCCTGCAAGCCTTTCTCAATCTCTGCCACCTAACACCCTGGTCACGCCAGCTTCCCTCTGAAGACTCCTCATGCCTTTGCTAAGTACTGTACCAATTTGCATGGTCGTCATCTAAGCCGAAAAGAATGAAGGAGGGTTTCCCACTCCTGACTTTCCCAGTGACTATGACAAGTCTAGAATCTCCCGAAAAACAAAGAGAATAAATACGGAGATCTCCTTCAAGTCAAGCCGAATTAGGTTGAAGGCTGGATCAAAACTGGGTTGGGTTTAGGATACACTTAAGAAATGTCTAGTCAATTCCTAGCAACGCCCACTAGGCGGCGCCCTCAGTCTCATTGCGACCAAGACGCCTCCAGGTCTTAAAAGTTTATTACCTGTCTAACAAGTTTCCTTCCTGCCCTCCTGTCCCTTTAAGAAGGTGAACCAGGTGAGGTCGAGGCCCCGCCCCCGAGCTGGTCCCGCCCCCCGCCCCCGCCTGGTCGGCTTGGCTTGCCCAGTCCCTCGCGACCTGGCCCAGCCGTCGGGGCCCAGGTCCCAGGTCCCGGCCGGCGCCATGGAGCGGCGCTGGCCCCTGGGGCTCGCGCTGCTGCTGCTGCTGCTGCTGCTGCTCTGCGCCCCGCTGCCCCCGGGGGCGCGCGCCGAGGAAGGTACCGACCCCCCTCCCTCTCCCTTTCCGGGCCGGCGGGCAGCAGCCTGCAAGAGCCGGCATTCCTGAGGAGGCCCTCCTCTGCGCGCCTTACTCCTTCTCCCTGGCTTCGCCCCAGTAGCGGGGAGATCGATTGGCCAGGGCAGTCTTTGGCCTTTAACCCCAGACTCCTGCCCACGGGCTCAGCCACCCCTACCCTCTGCTGACCAGTCCTATTTTGTGGGTGGAGAGGGAGTTCCTGACCACAGCCAGGAAGCTGCACTCCCCACTGCAGCATCATGGGACCCTCCAGGGGCCCACCCCTGAGTTTGCCAGCACTCAGGTGGAAAGCCTCCTTCGGCCAGCCTAACCAGACCACAGACAGACCGCCACTGGTGGGAGGGTTAGGACCTGGGGGCTCCCAGGCGTAGGGGTCCAACCTTACACAGGAAAGTTTGCAAACCCTCTCTGACTGTGCCCCGCCCACCTCCCAAAATCGGAGCTGCGCCTAGCGCCCCTCCTCCTATACCCTCCCCTACCAGAGCTGGCGGTTGGCAGAAAAAGTCAAACTCCACCAGGAGTCCCCTGCCAGGGTCCCACTCAGGACTGCAAAGGCTCATCTTCCCTGACGTCCACCCATGGCATCCCTGCAGCAGAGGGGTGCTCCAGCCCTCCCGGGCCCCGCTGGTGCAGTGTCTGAGGTTGCTCTTCCAACGCTTGCTGTCCTGACTCTGGTTCAGGACAGCCCCCAACCCTCGCCCCACTCTTCCTTGCTCCCATCACACTCCGAAGGAATCCACTGTAATCCTTGGAGCGCTTCATTCCTCAATCCTGGACCCCTTTGCTCCCGCTGCCTCAGGATGTCACACTATTAGAAAATGTGGCAGCCTCGGGCCGGGAGTCCCTGAATACCCAATGTTGGTAGTAGGGCACCTCCTCCCCCTTAGGTGACACCCTCGTTGCCTTCTCCCCATTCAGTCACTTTGATGGACACAAGCAAGGCACAAGGAGAGTTGGGCTGGCTTCTGGATCCCCCGGAGGACGGGGTAAGTGTCTAGAGGACCTGGGAAAGTTCAAGTCTGAAGGCCAGTGGGAAATGGGGTGGAGAGGTGGGTGGAGGAACAGAAAAGAGCAGGAAAAACTGGAAGTGTCTCCTCTGGTGGGGGAGGGGAAGCTGAGTCAGAGCCTCCTGAATGGTACTTGGGGGTTGGAGGTGTCAAACTTCACTCCACTGGGACTATCTCCAATGCCTCACCCTCCTACCATAGTGGGGGGCAGGGGGGGGGATCGAGAGTTCACATCCCCTAGGGAGAGCATGCCTATGCTAAGGAAGGTTATCAGCTGGATGAAGAGGAGAGAGAGACCTGGAACGCATCGAAGTCTCAGCTCTATTCACTGCAGTGGAGTTATGTGGATGGGTTTCAGAACATTAGAGAGCTCCATAAAAGTGTAAATGATGTATGGATTTTTTTTTTTTTTTTCTGAAGAGGAGAGCCAAAACTTTCATCAAAGTCTTTAAAGGTCTTTTGACTCCCTCAAACTTAAAAGCTGCTCCCCTCCAAGGCCCCTGAACACTCTCTCCCTCCCAGGCAGGCTCCACAAACACCAGGTGTTCCAGCTGTTTGAGAAAGGAAAAAGCCATCTCCAGGTCCCTTCCCACCTTAGGTGTCCCTGAGACCAGTGAGGAGAGGTGGATTATTAATGTGTCACACACACACACACACACACACACACACACACACACACACACACAAATGTATTCAAGCCTAAGGTGCAGAGATACCCTTGCAGGAACCCAGCAGAGCTGGCCTTAGAGCCACATGACAATACCTCTGGGGTTGGAGACTATTATTACTTAGTGCCACATGGCAATACCTCTGGGGTTGGGAACTTACTTACTGGTCTGGGACCTAGTCTCTGGATTTCCTTTCCTTGCTCCAGTACCTAAGGCATGTTCTGCAGCTGTTTCTGGGATGAGTTATTGCTTTCTTTCTCCCTTGGACCGGAGGGTCGAGGCTCCCCTTTGAGCTCTTCCACAGAGTGGCCTATAATTAGAGTTAATAGACTAAACCATAATGTATCCTCCAGGAGGGGCCGCTTGGAAAATCCTGGATTAGGCCAACTCTAATAGGTGCCTCATCTCATAAACCAGCTAATCACCCACAAGGAAGGCAGCAGGACCATCTGCTGGCTCCCACTGGCCTTTCCTTATGGCTCCACCAGCCCCACCCAAATAAGTCTTCCCTAATTGAGCGCCAGTGGAAGCGAGGCCCCTTTCACGGTCCAGTGCTAGAAGGGCAGTACACTGCCAGCAGCTGAGCTCCCATCCGGCTCTCTTCCTTGTCCCCTCCCCTCTTTCTAAAACCAGTTAAGGCCATAGAGCTGAGCTCCCAGAATACACACATGGAACAACCAGCGACTCCTGAGTGTCAAATGAAAGGATCCTCGGCGCTGGCCCTGGACGATAGTTGTCCCCCATCTGTCACGGCTGGAATTGGAAGAGGCGGCTACAGCTGGGAACATCTGTTTCCCTAGGCTCCAGCTGCAGCTTTGGCAGTCTGGCTACTGTCTGCCGCACATTACCGTGGCCACCCTGTCCACCTGCCTGTACCCTATGCCTTTTTCTTTGGCTCCTCAGCAGAGCCTCCCCAGAGTAACTCCAGGTACCCTTTCTTCCCAGGTTTGTGGCCTTTGGACACCCCTCTTGATCTTTGAACTCTATGACATAATGCAGAATTGTGTGCTTCAAGATGGCCCCAGCCTACCAATTCTTAATTAGTCTTTTTTTTTTTTTTTTTTTTTTTTGTCATGAGGGCCCGCTCACTGGAGTGGAATAAAAATCTCAGGATGATCGTTCTTAGGGCTTCAGTCTCTTCTCCATCAAATAATGGGATGGCATCCAAAATATCAGTGAAATGGTTTGTGAAATGTGTATGCTTCTTTCTTTCTTGCACAGGGGCCATGCTAATCTTCTCTGTGTCCTTCCAATTTTAGTATATGGGCTGCCAAAGTGAGCACCGCGTGCTTCTTTCTTAACTATATCTAGCCGAGCAAATATTTAAGAGAAAGAATGTTCCTGATGAAGTACGATATCTGTCCCACCAACAGATAATCAGAACCTCAACAGTAATTAAAACCTGGAATAATGACAAGAACACCCGGACCAATGCAACAGGATAGGAAGTCCAAATTCAAATCCACATGTACGATATTTTCACGTGGATGACCATGGAATTTCAAGTCAAAATGCAAAGTATTGCTGGGGACAGAAAAACTTCCTACCCTCTCCCTAAGTGAGCCTGTGGAGGTGACAAAGGATGATGGATTAACGGGAGAAACACTATTTTAATTACCTTCATTCACACAGGATGAAGCTCCAGCAAAGTTCAGAGGGTTGAAGCTTGTGTGTCAGCCTGAGCTTCGGGAAGGAGTAGGGGTGGGGAGGTGGTGACCGGCCCAAGTGTGAAGTGAACAAAGGCTGCCCTGCTGGGTCCATTTGAAAGTCTCTGGGGTAAAAGAAGTGTTCTCTGAGCTGCCTTCTTCCTGGCACTTCCTGATAGCTCACAATGTCAATCCCATCCAAAGACGCAAATGTCTTTTACCATGAGCTAACCCTGTATTTATAGTTATTTTTTCAAGTAATCATCTCAATGGCCAAATAAACATATTTTGGGGTGTACACTGATCCCCAAAAGTATTGATTTGTCACCATACTGACAACTGTAATTTCAATAATAGAGTACAAGGGAAAACATCTCTCCATCTTCTCTGAGCAGATATATATATAAAAAAAAAATCAGTTCTGGTGAGATCAAAGTTTAAACGAAAAAAGCCAAACCTACAAAATTTTCAAGACAAGAGACAAAAAGAAATGTATGATCTCAGGCACAATACACAGCCCAAAATGCATGATATTATTTTGTGAAGATGGAAAATATGTTTTCACGTAAATAGTGCCATTAGCAAAAATGTGGTATGGCTGAGAATATTTGAAACATACATACCAAGCAAATAATTACTGTCTATACTGCATTTTTTTAAGAAGCTCCCACAAGTGAATAATAGAAGAGTTTAATAAAAATATAAATAGCCAATGAACCAAAGAGAAACATGCACTCTCCCCCTTCACAGAAATGAGACTGGCTAAGCTGCTTTGGCCATAGGACTGGCAAAAGATAAAAAGAACTTTAGTATCCCTTCTGATGAACTTTTTAGAAAATAAATTCTCTTGCACTTTTTGTAGAAATATAAACTGATAAGGTCTTTGGAGGCCAATTTAGCAACATCTTATAAAATTTGTGGTCTATCTATTGATTCACTCAATTCAATAGAAATCTTACATTCATCAGTCTACTTCCCTAAAATAATAAATAAATAATGAATAAATAATAAATAAATAATAAATGAATGAATAAATAGGAACTAAATAATTACCCAACAATAGATGAATGATTAAATGATTATGGTGCACCTATATGATGGGGTGCTGTTTATATATTGCAACAAGAAACAGGTCTGTATGCATATTCTATAGGCATAATTCCACAGTGTTATTTGTTACAACAAAGGAAGTCACAGAACAACCCTTCCTTGTATGGCATTTATTCTAAAAACACAAGACCATTTAGACAGTTCCTCAGGAGGTTTTGAAAGTGGTCTAGAAAGCTCTGTTTCAAACCCTTAAGAATGGCTCCCTCTCAGAATAAAAGTGGAAGGACTGGGGAGACCTCACCTTTGTATGTCAATCCCTAACCTGCTAGAATAAGCAGAGATGTGAAGATTAAGAACATAAGTTCTGGCTGGGCAGTGGTGGCGCACGCCTTTAATCCCAGCACTCGGGAGGCAGAGGCAGGCGG